ATATGTATTTCTGGTTGAGGCGAGTGACATCCAGGGGGTTTTGGTATGAAGCAGATCTCCAGCTGACTTCAGTTAGGAGCTGGGAAGTGAAGACTTTCACTGCTGGGGTCTGAATTCACGCAGTTACTCGCTCAAGGCCAGAAGCCTGATCTTCTCTTATTCATACCAGTGTAACTACGAAGAAATCCCCCCAAACACCCGCAGTGAGGTCACTATGGTAACACAAATGGTACCAGGGGACCCCTCGCATGGTAAGAAAGGCTTTGCAAATGATGGGCAGATCAGTGACTCTATTCTCCTAACCTTGCGTGAGCAAGGCTTTACGGGGTCAACCCCATCTCTCCTGTAAGGAAATCTGCTCGTACCAGATGTGAGAAATCATCTCGGAAACAGATCACTCAGCGATTTGCAGCCAAGTGAAAATGATGACGGACTTTGTTTCAAAAAATCACTAGATGTGAATTACAGTAATCTGTTGCAGGCTTTTTTAATTCCCAGATTTTAAAGAATCTGTTCTCATTTTGCACTATATCTTTTTTTTTTTTTTCTTTTTTTTTTTTTAATCAGAATAAAGAGGAATGGGTTCAATGCCGTAATGAAAAGACATAGTTTTATAAACAATCAAGGGAGGATTTCATAACATAATGTCTCTGGTATATACGTGGCTGTTTGCCACTTACTCCATTTGGCTTTCTGCTGAGAGCACGGGCTTCACGCGAGCTAGTCTAATTGCTACACTTAGCAAAATTAAATGGCTTATTGTGTATTTAGACAATTCTTCCCACATTCTGCATTGTTATACTACAGAATTAGTAATTACAGTGTTGGGCTTGTAAATTCATGGACACGTGTTGCGATTATCTTCATCACGCACCCCTTGCAGGGGCTCAACCTTAAAGGAGCTCGTGTGGATGGATGCACAAATGCAATTGACTCTGCTTCCCACCAGGCACAGGAGCAAGAGAGGCAGCAGTAGGACCCCAGCAAACTGCCGAAGCCTTTTCCTTGGCATTGTGCAGGCAGTGCAGGGGTGGGGGGCAGAGTAAATCACTGCATCCCAGTCACTCCAGATTGCACCACTTCAGGGATGGAGCGGAGAAAGGGCAGTGGCTTTGGGAGCTGAATCGCTGGCAGAGTCGAGCAAAACTCAGTGCAGCGCCACTTTTAAGGCTCTTGAGGAGTCGTATGATCAAATCACAAACACTTCAAAACCGTTTAATTCGGGCTCCGAAAAAACCCAACAGGCTGGTTGTGAATATTTGCTGGCCAATAAAAAGTAAATGAATATATTGTGTGATTTGAAGTCTCTTTCCAAATAAAGCAGCACTTGTACGTTTAGTGCCACGCATTAATGCCTCATTTGGGGAGAAAATGATATATTGGCTAGACTATCATATGTTTTAAACAAATTTGGATTTACTAGCTATTCACAACAAATTAAAAATTGCAACTCCAATAAAATTTTAGTTTACCTCCACTGCTTAAAAGTTTACAAAATCAGGCAGCTGAGGTCTAGCATTTAATTTTGGAAGGAAAATTTTCTCCAATGTTATAGAAATTAATAAATAGAAAATTTGTTGATTTGCCAGTGAAAATAGTGTTTATATATCATCAAGCCCATACAACCCAAGCAAAGAAACATTGTTCTAGTACATGAAGCATATTTAAACTGACGTAAACAAAAGTGGGAATGAGTTTCTTTATCATTAAATCTGCAAGAAAAAAGTATTGCACATATTTTCAAAGAATTCATTTTTCTAAAAAAGATTATCCTATTATAGAACAAATAACTTTTCTTTAAAAATAAGACAAAAGGTTTATCTTACATTTTCCTATATGTTTTCTGAATGAACACGGGTATGTATTATGTCTCTTTTAAATAGAGTAGTGAATATTACTTAAATTGTTTTTTCTGTAAGATACAAATCCATAACTCTCAAAACTTTAGGACCAAGTCTTTAACCAGATAAATTACCATTAAATCAGCTGGCAAATTTGTTTGGTTCATTAGAACAATGCTTACAGAATTCTTACTTTTAACAAAGACATGTGATTGGTTTTCTTTGTCAGGATATAATTATGAACTTTTTTATTTTCCTGAATTCTGGAATGAGATTTAAAAGACCTGATTTTTTCATTATTTCAAAAGCAGAAATTAATTTTTTTACAATTCTTTTTTTTTTTGCTATTGCTGTCTTATCTGAAATTTATTGGTTTTAAAACTGTCTGTGGTAAAAAGAATAGTGCATATTGATTATTAACTATCCATAAGGCCATCATAGGATTTCAACGTGGACTGTATTTACTCTCGACAACTTCTATAAAAAATTCTTACAGTTTTTAATGTGACCGTTCACAGCAATGCGAATTAAGAAACTGATCATGTAGTCGTCTGAGCGTTAAGATTTCAATGGCCATCCTGTTCTCAGTGCAAGTATCACTGACGTTAGAAACGTAACAAAGCAAGATTTTGGAGAGCAAATTTTGACTCGGTATAAAATAACTTCTCCCCTTTCCTCAAACAGTTGGATGGAATTCTGGAGATAAGCTGTGTATACATACTGCCACGTATGGCACCGTGCACTCAGACCCTGCAGTAGTTTGCTTAAGAGAAATTTACAAACATTATTAAAAAAAATAAAAATGCTGGGACAGTAAAGAAAGTAAATGCTAGATACTAAAACCCACATGGATAAATAACACCTCTGTGTCCTTCCATCCAAAACCACACAAGAGCAAATCAAAGAAACTCACCCCAAACCTTCTTCAGAAACCTTGCAATACAAGAACTGGTCCAGACCGAAATCCTTTAAATTCTGTACCAAGCAACTTTTCTTCAATCCTGTAAGCCCTGGTCAAAAGGCTCACAGCTCTGAGGAACAGCAAGAGGGGATGAGATGTCAGAAGAGGACAAACCTCACTGACAGCTGAGATGCTGCCCCTCTCTCCAGCAGGTGCTTGAAGGAGGCAAGAGCTCCAGAGCCTCACTCATGCTAAAATTTCTGAGTTGTTAAAGAAGCAGTGAACACATCAAACTGTTTCCAAAAGAAAGCCTCACATCTTGGGTTATAAAGCACACCATTTGCCTTGTTTGTAAAGAAAGACAGCAATTGCCTTGTGAGAGCTAGCGTTTAATTCTGGAGTGAAGGCTCTTCTGAATTTGATGGGGAAAAAAGGACTTGCTCCCAAAATCTTTTTTTAAAAGTTCTTGCAGTGATATATTTTCCGACAAAATGGGAGTGCTTTTCTCTGGAAAATCAGCTGTATCTCCACGGAGGGGAGGGCAATCACTTTGTACAAAGCTTCAGGTTTGGACTATCAAAGAATTATTTTACTTAAAAAAAATTTATAGAGGCAGTTTGCCACTGCTTAATTTGAAAATACCTAAGAAAACCTTGAAGTGTGGTTTTTTTCTGATCTGTGGAAAGTTCCCTCTGCCTTGCAGATTCCTGCACTTTCACAGATGTTTTGTTTTGAGGAACTCGCCCCAGCAAAGAACAACAGGTATTGAACATTTCAGTAATAAAAAAAGTCAACATTAAAAATGGCTAATTGAACGCATACAAATAAACGCAGGCTGTGTAACCTCGGCCATTTCATAGTACAAATATTAATTTTAGGAAAGACTGAAATTTACCCAGCAGCATATACAGCAGTGACTACCCTGGATATACCTGACAGTGAAGGTTACAATACCAACCAACAGGTCTTCTCCATCCTGACAATGCCATTTACAACAGTAACTCTTCAGTTCTCCTAAAATGGATGGAAATAGTTATAGCAAATTATTTCTTATGGAATTGCTTGGTGTCTTTACAAGCCACTTACATTTGAAGCAGGATCCATGGTTTCTAGAGTATTCTAAAAGTACCCATGTAGGCTTTCATATGGCATTACACTGCAAAACAAATCCATAAGGTGTGAAAACCAGGTTTATATCAACCTGCAGAAGCCAGTTGATAAAATTCATGGACCAATTCTTAAAATCTAAGCTATAAAGAGAATGAGATGTATTAAAAGATTTGAGGTTTATAAAAAGTAACCTTTTTATACCATATTTTTACTTTACAAAAATACTGAAATTATTCATGAGTTTTTCACTCTGCACCAGCTTTAAAAAAAATACTATCAAATTTTGACTTGCACCTTTAATGCATCTGAAAGCACCATCAGGGGATACTTTTAACATAAAGGAGGATACCATTGACTAGATTTAGGGAGGTATTTAAAACCCAAAAGCTCGCAGCAAAAGCACTCTATTACAAGAGATTCAACGTAATTTTTAGACGTATCTGGACACAAGTCTTGAACAGGCAGAAGAGGGGTCTTCCACATAACTTGCTTATATCCTACTTCGGTGAATATACTTACTAAGAGGTGGCTGAAAGCCTTTACAAGACATCACTTTCACCTCGGGTGGGAAAAATCAGAGCTGTCTCTACGTGTTGAGAACTTGATTGGTCTTTCCTGCTTCTTGTTCTGGTAGGGCTCGTGCCACTCGTTACCTGTCCCTCAGGCAATATCAACCTCGCAGTTATATAATGTTTGGCACTAGAAGGGTATGGCATGTCACAGTCTCTTGTCACTCCTGCATACATTCACACACTGAATCATGCATTCTCAGTCCTGAAACAGAGAAGTTTCAGTGTGTTCATCTCCTCGTAGTTTCTTCCGAAATATCTGAATGGGGTCCTCCAAAAACTTTAGAGTATGAAAACTATACTTCCCTGTTCTTTTACATATGTATATGGTTTTTTGCAGATTGAACACTGAATCATGATTATCATTTAATTTACATCACTACGTGCTAGAGCTCCTTGTTTCTCCTGAAAACCAGAAGTGAGCTGCATAGGATTTCTGTTGAAAGTAACATAAAGAACTTAAATTGCATTTAAAAAGACTTTGAAATTCTACAGAAAATGATCAGTTTCGGTAATATTAATGTTTATGACCTAATTAATCAGAATTTAGTTTATTTTCCATTGACAGCCTTACAAACATGACGATGTAGCTTTTTAATTAAGAAATATTTTGCAAACCTATTCTAACCTGAATGGTTGATTTATGGGGAGTGTTGAAGACTACTGTGCTCCAATTTTTCCCCCCTAGAAAACAGTTTTCGTAACAGCAACACTGTGTGCTACAGTTTTGTTATTTTTGAAAAGTTTGTGTGTGTGTGTGTGTTTGTTTTTGCCATTGATTATGCAAAGATCAATCATTCATTTCTAAAATAAAATGCACTACTGGCTAGAGTCGAAAGCTCTGGTCAGAGCCTTCCTATTGGTTTGATTTTAAGTACTGTGCAGTCAGAGGTTCATAGCAGCAAGGAGTTGCGGGTGAGTTTCCCCAGCTGAAGTAACCGATCTGTATGTATGGGTCAGGGTTTTGGGGGGTTTTTTTTGAGGCTTTCAGGTGACGCTGCTGTATCAGTGTCCCGCAGACAGACTGCACACAGTGGATCAAATGATAATCATGATGGTAGCCAGACTAAGAACACTACAGCTTGCTGCTCTACTTGTAGTACGCAGTTTAGTGGTTCCTACAGCCCTACTGTCAACCCTTAATTTGGACTGTAACACGGGAGCTTCTTCGAGCTGTGTCGTTGTTCTGTTTATAATGTGGTTTCATATTCCAAGCGCTCCTGGATAAGGGCATCATCTTTATACTGTAGCCGTGGAGGAGCAGGGGAACATTCAAACGCTAAGATGGCCTTCCTCAGGCTCCTGTCCAACACGTGTCTCTCCCACGCTGGGTACCTATTCCTGAACAGATCGATTTTAATGACAGATTCCTCAATCCTTGGTGGCCGGGATGAAGGTGTGGATGGTGCGGTGGGTCTCACCTGAAACACGGGCACACACCCATCCCTCTCCCCGAATTTTTGATCCCGCTCGCTCGTGACGCTGCGGTTGTTGGAGATGGACCGTAGAGTGTTTGTGGCCACTTCTGGGGGTAGGGTGAAGGCGGTGGCGGGGTCCTCACAAGCACAGCTTGGCGACTGCCCAAACCTTGGTCCGTTGGGGTGAAAGAAGGCATAGTACATGAGCATAAAAACAATGCCTGTTAAAAAGCTGCTGAACACTACGCACAGTGCTGGTATGGCAAATGCATCAGAGATTGGTGGGGCCTTGTACAGATACCAGAGAGCACTCAAGGCGGTGTTTTCTAAAAGGATCACAAAATAGTAAATGAAAAGCCTACAGCGTGTCCTTCCTTCCTTGACATTGAACCAGCTGAAGATATAGATTATCCCAACGACCATGTCGAAAACTATCTCCTCCCATTTAGTGATGCAAAACTCCGTCTCGCAGTGGACGATCCAGAAGGTCATGATGCACCAGTGCAGCACGATGAAAATCCCAAAGTACAGCTGGAAAACCGAGGCAAACAGAGCAAAAGTAATGACCCTCGCTGCGATTGTGAAGAAATGCCAGCAAAACTGGATTATAACAGCCATATAACTGATGGGTTTCTTGTCATCACGGGAGTCACGGAGGGCCTTTTGGTAGGAAGCCAAAGCCCAAGCCAGGGATACGAGAGATGCTGCAGCAGTAAGACCTAGGAGGAAAGAGGAGATGCAGACAAGGCATAATTAGTATACCAGCACTTGGTTGAGACTGGTTTCATCCTTGCTGCTTCAAATGTGTTCTCCACCACTGGCATCATAAAATCTCTTCCTTCTCCTTCAGCTCAGCCAGCCCTGAGAGACGCACCTCTGCTGCTGGGATTTCGTTAGCCTTATGATGTTGGGTAGGTACAAACAAGAGTGACTGTCAAACTACACTCCGAAATGCTTCTCTAGCAATTTCACGTTTGAGACAAATTAATTAATTCACAACTTTGAGAAAGTTGGGAACAGATATCTCTATCAGCTGTGTGATTTAACAGGCTCTGCTGTGGCTATTGTTTTAAAGAAAGAATACAAATTTTCTGATTTTGATAAGTCAATAAAGAAACCTAATCTAAAGCAACCAAGTCTTTCTAATTAGAATGACAACACCACATAACCTAAATCAATAACAATGTGAGCATAAATCTTAATTTTAAAAATAAATTAATGTACCTCTTGTTATATCAAAATTTAAACTGCCTTACTCTTGCTGAGGGAAAAAATGTTGCCCATTTTGATATTTCCACCAGTTTTAAACAGAATTTTGGTAAGTAGAAAATATAAAAAAAAATATTTTTTCCAGTCTGAAATCAAATCAATTTCAGAAATGTAGGAATTCTGAGTATAGATGCTCCTAAAGTAGGGAGTTATGACTATATGTTCATATAGCCATTCTATCTCCCATACAGCACAGTATGACCTATTTATAAGGTCCTGATCTATTTCTGCAAAACCTGACAAATATTTTTTCACAGAAAGAATCAATACAAAATTATTTCTCATGAGATTTTCAACCATTTTTGTGGAAATAATTCCTATTCACTTTGAAATACAAACCCCATAAACCATTTTTTTTTAAATACCTTTCTGTGCTTATTTTGAATGTGTATTATCCTTTTTTCACTCAAGCGAGTTTGTTTGTTGTTGGTAAACAAACTTAAAGACAAAGTTGCTTTGCAACTGAATCTAATTTTTAAACTAATCTATTACTTCCATACACTACCAGAAAAATACATTACATTCCCATTTATGAAGTTATATCGCTCAGCATAATTCAAATACTTAACACTACACAGCATTCTGTTAGAAATGAATGATAATTCTTCTTTACTAGAAGATTAATTTTTATATACTTACACTCATATCAAGCCGCTTTGGATGGAAATGGGAATTCAATTGAAATGCAAAACCCCAGTCTTTCAAGTGTATTTATTATTTAAATAAAATTGTAATAAATACATTGTCTGCAGAGAAAAAATGTATCAAACATTTTATACTTAAAACTGGTTTATTAGCAAAGCAAATATTATACACAGTTAATGAATGAATTCATAAGTCTCAGCATCCCAGACTGAGAATTTATTCATAAACCATTTAAAGATAATGATGCTTCAGCTTACTCTATTTCTAAGCAGTTCCCTAACTTTGAACTAGTTTTTGGAAGTTAATAAAACTGAAATGAAGAAAACATTTCTTTTGTCTGCTGTTAAAACCTGTTTAATCATTTCAGCAATCTTTGGTTCTGAATGCATAGACAGTATTTTTCTTCCCAGTTTAACAGTTTCTTTAGAACTTAACCATCAAGAATATATTACTTAAAGACTTCAAATTTTATGCAAATACAGAGTGGTAAATTTAAGCCTAAATATATGTTGCTATTCACTTTTGAAAAAAAAAAAAAGTTTATTTTAAAACAGAAAGATGTAGGTTATGGAAATAATACCTGATTCTGATGGAAAAAAATCTATTTAAGCAATGCACCTGGCTTAACGCACTAAGATTTTGCTCAGTAAGTAGTACAGAGGCATTCATTATTTTCAGGAGGGATTGCATTTGCCAGTGTTCCTCCCTGCCTCACGGGCAGGGTGCTAATTATGTTGCGAGCTCCCATGAATCCATGAATTTAAAAACCCTTTGCTTTAAAAATAAAAATAATAACAAACGATCAGCAGAAATATAGAACAAACTTAGGATTCCAGGGAGAGTTTTTTAATAAAACTTCATCATTTTTCTTCCCACGCAGATGCCTGCATGCCAAAACACCAACATTACTTCTGGAATCCTCCTTCACGGAGAGAATAAACTATCAGCAAGGAAGACAGGAAGGAGACATGGTATAAATTGTTATTTTCATTTCTGACGTGTATATTTGCTTTTCACGCTGGGCTGCCTTTCCGTGACCGTTATCTCTGGAGACAACACTAACAGCTGAAAACACAAGTTCTCGTTTTCCTGTAGGAACGTTTTAAGTACTGAAAAACCACAGTTCATTTTCCTTATGAAATGAAAAGTTTGGAAAGGTAGATGAATAGGATAAAGGATAAGAGAATCTTTCAATATAAATGAGCCACTCGAACAAGAGCTCAAAAATAGCATTATCAGCACAAGAAAGAATAATGTGAGAGAGAAATCCATATATTTTCTTTGCAAATCTAACTTTAATGACCTCACACATTTCCCCAGAAGTTTGTAGAGATATCATCAGTTTTGCATTAGGAGGTGTAAAATCATTCAATAATGCACACAGAATGCTCCAAATAAAATGTTAAAATTAATAGGAATTTCCAATATTCTAATGCTAATTAATTCATAGTCATTGTCTGGGACAGAAAGAAGCAAGTACAATAGCAAGGTAATTCTCTTATTTAAATAGTCATTAATAGGGAAACGTCCTTTGCTTTTACAGAACAAACTTGGGGATACTGGCAGATAGGAGGGAAAAGGAGACAAGGGAATGTACAAAAGGAAAGAACTGCCAGTTAAAGTATTATGTATCTCCTCTTCTGCTATTGGTAATAGTGTTAGGGATATAGAATTAAGATAAGGCTAAATGCTTCATGGGCACCATCCATTCTTCTGTATTGATGAAACCAAGAACTAAAGAATTATTAAAAATATAATAAATAATAAGAACAATAGCGTAAAAGTGATGTAAATGGCAGTTTGCTAATAAATGTCACTATATAAATAATTCACTGGGAATGGTTAGAGATAAAGTGAATTATTGTAGCACTGAATGGATACTTCATTAATTAGAAGGCATTGATGCATTTGCTGAGTATGCGTTCATATAAACCTCTTTATCCCTGTTTCATAGAACCATAGAATGGTTCAGGTTGGAAGGGTTCATGAAGTTCATCTAGTTCCAATCCCCCTGGCATGGGCAGGGACACCTCCCACCAGACCAAAACTGAGACCACTACTCAAAGCCCCATTCAGCCAGGTCCTAAACACCTCCAGGGATGAGGCATCTACAACTTCTTTGGGCAACCTGTTCCAGTGTCTCACCACAGCCTCCACACTCTCTTTGGGCACTGCAGCAGCTTTCTGGTGTGTTTGAGTCTTGTATATCAGAGTTTTGTATTTAGGGTCTTGATCTTGGACATAAGGATTAACCAGCCATTCTCAGTGAATATATACTCAAGAAACTATGTGTTCATCCGTTACAGACTATTAAAAGTCCAGGAAAGTGGGAATTCTGTAAATATTCAGCTCCATAACCTTCTTCTTTTCTAATTACATCAGTCCATAAATCCTATATAGAATAAGTACAGAACACCTCAGGTCAGCTGGAAGCCCTACAAATGAATGAACTGATCAGAGAAAGTGCTCCTTGACATTCAACCTTATTTCAGAAATCAAACTCCTGCCAAGGCTTCTGTCTCTGCTTCGTCCTCCTCTTTAGACTTGTGCTCATCTCACCATTTCCAGGAGTAAATTCACATAAAAGCGGGAATACCAAACACAGTGGGACATTTGGGTATGACAACATCGCCTGGGATCTGGGACTAGGAAACATTTTTTAAGGAAGCCTATTTTTATGAGTTTCGCACCCAGCTGAAGAAGTGACAGAGAGGCAACCAAGCTTTCAGGTGCTTCTCTGAACCAAAGCCAAGCCTCTCTAACTTTTCTAGTCACCCTTAAAACCTTAATCTGGTGCCACCCCTCCAGCTTCAGAAAATGCCTTGCTGTATGTACTCAGTTTTTGCCATGCTGCTCTGCAAGTATAGCCACCAGCTTGACATTCACATGGAGACCTTGAAGGCAGCTTGACAGTAGTCTATAATTTTCTGCAATAATCGTTTTATTCCCATACACCAGTATGGCAATGTAGGATATGGTATACATACTGTGCTTCCACATGTGGTTTCTACACAGGACATTTTGCATGCTTCAGGGGCAGCTTTTGATCATATCAGAGAGTGATATGATCCCTGATCATATGAGGTGTGTCCAGGTTCTCAGTGTGTTTTCATGCTCACGGGTCTCATTCCTTGACTAATACTCTGAGACAAAACCTAGAGACAAAGCTTACTTTTTTATGCTTCCCTACTTTCTAAAGGGATAATAATATAAACTTTTGTTCTCACCTGGGTTATTTCCTTCCTTGATGACTGCAGATGTAGCCTGCTGGGGTAAGCTGTAGCACTGTGCCGAAGTATCCATACTGGAATCCATCCCTATAGCCTTAAGTGTTTGTCATTAGATTTCATAACTAGGGATGTTTCATGTACAAGGATCCTCGCTGGCACAGTATTTGCTGGCACATTTCTTTTTTCAGAAGTGGGAAGCACCACTAACTTAATGTCTACAGCCATGTCCAACCCCCTAAAATATGCTGTATGCTGATCTTAACACATATTTTTCTGTACTCCAAGGTCCGCGGCCTTGTCGACCAGGGTCATTCTCCATAAGCATGTTGGCAACATAATCCTATTACGTACCCACACCAGTAAGTTTGTCTTACATTGGCTGTCCTAAATCATAGTCAAAGGCTTTCTGTGCAAGTGACAGAAGCTGCCTGGGGTCAGAAAGGGACTTTTTTCTTCTCTCTTAGGTGCTACTATATCTGACTGTGCCCGGAGAGAAAAGGCATCTTAGTGAAATATTCCACTTCTGTAGTTTTCCTTAGCCTGTTCGCTACGCACAAACACGGGTGTGACAGTGT